CATTTTAAGACCTTGAGGATGAACACAGTGCAGACTCTGCATTCAAAGATTTTCGCAAGAAGATTGGACACTTTTTTACAAGATATCTTGGAAGATCGGTAAGGTTTGGACCAAGTGATCAGGTAAATTTTGACCTTTGAAGACTACTCTTGTCCACTTATGATGGTATCTGAATTCAATAGATCAATCCCTTTCAATTGCTAAGAGTTAACTATGAATCAAAAGATGACTGGTGTGTAGCCACTGACCTTCTTCGTGCCAACCCAAAATTCCATGGCAAGCCACGATATGATTGCATCATTGTCAAGATTGATGAGGAGAAGTATATCTTTGCACGCTTACTCTACATTTTTGGACTTCAAGTTCTTGACAAGGAGTATCACATGGCACTTATCCTACCCATGGATCTTCCACCTGATTTGGAGAATCGTGGACGGGATAATGACCTTCGCTTCAATCGAGTCAAGGCCCGACATCACTCACTCTCAGTTTTTATCTCTGTTGAATCAATCATTCGTGGAGGTCTTCTTGCAACAGATTATGGATCACAATATTCAGATGAGTATCTGGTGATGGACATGGATTCGGATATGTGGTTGAGGATGAAGTCATTACCCCTTGCACGCAGAGTAGATTTAGGTCACTGAACATTGCAATGAATTGTTCTGTTGCTCAAGGTTGGTTTTCAGTGTCTTGGTGTGTCTTTGTATGTGAGGCTGAGGAAGATGAGTGCCACACATAAAGAAAACTTTAAAAGCTTAATATACTTAGTCTCAACAGCTTCCAGTTCAAGTGAACATTGATGAAGGTAGCCTTTGGATTGTGTTGAAGGTTAGGTAGGGATGTCCAGGCGATGCAGCTGTGTTTTGTCAAGAAAAACTTCAGGGTGGACCCTAACCAGAACCCTTCGTTCAGCAAGGATCACACACATCAAGTCCCCCTGGGTCTCATGCAATTGCTGATCACTCAGATGAAGTGCTACATTGTTTGAAGATGCCATGTGGGAATGACTAAGCAGACAATACATTGGGAATATTCACACAAATGAACACTACAATAATAGTCTGTTGCTCTGAAAACAATTTAAATATGTAGAAATAAAGAAAGGCTTCCTATATATTTTAAATTCATTGTGAAATAAGAACAGGCATATCTTCTAATAACTCTAACAAAACCAGTGCAGGCTGGCTTGGGAGT